TGCCACCCAGATGCCTTGTGCTTCATTGCCGGCCCAAGAAACTATTCTTGCATTTGTCGCGATGGATTGATGGAGAAAATTGTTGATGGTAAGGAACACTTAAAAGTATGTAGAAAAAAAAATGCAGACATTTCTTTCCTTTTCTTGTCTTTTTTTTCCATCTTTCTTTCTTTTTTCTTTCATCATTCTTTCTATTGGTATCAATCACATAATGAAAACTTTGATTTTCAGGTGTCCAACAGTGCCTTCCAAAGTCAGCCAATCGTAATGGGTGCAACCTCTTCTGCAATAAAGGAAAGTGCGTAATGACTCCAAACGGACCACAGTGCCAGTGCCCAGACATGTATTATGGACCTACCTGCAACATATATCGGTAAGGCAAAATAGTGCATGTTTACGTATAATAACCATAAGAAATGAATGATTACATCAGAAACTAAGGCCTAAGTGTCACCTAAACAAAAGAATAAACTGATTCCCTGAATGCTGCAAGAATAGAGAAATGATGGATATGGGATTATTTCTCGTAGGTGCTCTGGCTACTGCATGAACAACGGACACTGTGAGCGGAGTTCACCGACTGAGGGAGGTAATGTGTCTCTCCGCTGTTCGTGTGGACCAAACTGGACGGGTGAACGGTGTGAAACTCCAGTCAAGACTTGCGTCAATTATTGTGAAAATAACGGCACTTGCCACATGAGCAAAGACAGTCCCATCTGTATCTGCAATTTACATTTTAATGGTGAGTTGAACAGTGCATTTAAGGTCCTCTTCAATAGAAGAGGGATTCGTACCAAAGGGAAAAATGACAGGAAATAATCATATATTTGTTTCTTTACAAGTTACAGCCTTCATCTGTAATGTGCATTTTACAATTATGTGTCAACTTATGTCATAAATTGTGTTATAAGCAAAAAACAAGAACAAGAAACATGTTTTTATTTTACCTCAAAAACAAGTCCATGATTTTTTTTTTTTTTTTTTTTTTTTTTTTTTTTTTTTTTTTTTTTTGAATTCCAAAAATAAGATAATCCACAGCTCCTAAGCCGCTTTATACGGGCACTACCCCCAACTTAATATTACCCTATTTGTCATTCTGGAACCATGTATTACATTTGAGGACAAAGACACTCTTAACCCAATGGTGCCGGGGAAAATGAACAAAAAATGGGGAAAATATTGTGCCCACTTTCTATGTTTTTCGTGAAATGTCTGCCGATAGATGGCTTTGCTAGCGCCTGATTTAAATGGCGGGAAAAGCGTATTTTTCACTAGCACTATGAAAATCGATGGTGTAATTTTTATCATAAACATTATAATTTTTTTTTTTTTTTTTTAACATTAGTAACAGCAAAATAACATTACGTAAAATATTTTGTAAATCAAAGAAACGGGTAAACGGCCGAGACGGGCGGTGCTCGCAACTGGCTCATTGGTGATTTAGTACAAGTGTTGCCATCTATGCGTAAAAACAATCAAACAAGTACTCACGGTGGGCATAGCACGTGCGTACACGTGATACCCGGCACCAAGGGGTTAACTCAAACCTTTAGATCTTTATCAGGAAGATGGATGCAAGAGTTGGTGGGTTGGTTGATAGATGGATGGTTGGATGGACAATTAGGAGAAAGAATGTATATTGATGTGTAGAGTTAGACTGAAAATAGTAGTACCTAGCAAGGAAGGAAGTGTGAATCCCTTTTCTAATGTGGTGGGCTCAGTACCATAATGAGTGCTTTAGTAGAGAGGAACAATGTATTTATATTTGTGAAATTAGCTATATTAACTCTTAGTATACCTTACAGTTTTTACAGTCATTATTATCATTAATGCATTATTTGAATCTGTGATCTCCAGGTGATAGATGTGAGCAATGCAGGGACATACAGTGTGAGAATGGAGCAATATGTCGGCTGAAATGGGTTAATGGATCACCCGAGACATTCTGTTCTTGCGCTGGAGGATACCATGGGAAAACCTGTGGTTACTCTGTTTGCGACAGATACTGCAAAAATGTAAGCTATGAAGGTGTAAGAATATAGTTGTAGGTGCTGAATTTGAAAGACTTTAAGATGCTAGTTATCTAACTTTCACCCAGCCAGTCATTATTTGTTCATGGTAATCAATTTTCTCTCTCACTTTCTCTATTTTTCACACAACAGGGAAACTGCAGTATTTATCTGGGTATGCCAAAATGTCAGTGTAAGGAAGGATGGACAGGAATAACCTGTGATGTTTGCAAAGATGGTAAGTACATGTAGTGTTCTCTCTCTTTCTTTCTCTCTCTCTCTCTCTCTCTCTCTCTCTCTCTCTCTCTCTCTCTCTCTCTCTCTCTCTCTCTCTCTCTCTCTCTCTCTCTCTCTCTCTCTCTCTCACTCACTCACTCACTCACTCTCACTCTCACTCTCTCCCCCTCCCTCCCTCCTTCTCTCCTTCCCTCCTTCCCTCCTCCCCTCCATCCTTCCCTCCCTCCCTCCCTCCCTCCCTCCCTCCCTCCCTCCCTCCCTCCCTCCCTCCCTCCCTCCCTCCCTCCCACCCTCTCTCTCTCTCTCTCTCTCTCTCTCTCTCTCTCTCTCTCTCTCTCTCTCTCTCTCTCTCTCTCTCTCTCTCTCTCTTCCTCTCTCTTCCTTTCTCTTCCTTTCCCCTCTCTCTCTCTCTCTCTCTCTCTCTCTCTCTCTCTCTCTCTCTCTCTCTCTCTCTCTCTCTCTCTCTCTCTCTCTCTCCCTCTCCCTCTCTCTCCCTCTCTCCCTCTCTCCCTCTCTCCCTCTCCCCCTCTTTCTCTCTCCCTCTCCCTCCCCCTCCCTCCCTCCCTCTCTCCCTCCCTCCCTCCCTCCCTCCTCTCTTCCTCTCTCTTCCTCTCTCTTCCTCTCTCTTCCTCTCTCTTCCTCTCTCTTCCTCTCTCTTCCACTCCCTCTCCCCTCTCTCTCTCTCTCTCTCTCTCTCTCTCTCTCTCTCTCTCTCTCTCTCTCTCTCTCTCTCTCTCTCTCTCTCTCTCTCTCTCTCTCTCACTCATTATCTCTCACTCTCTGATTGACACAGCAGAAGATGATAGTGAGTTTAATGATTTTCAATTTACCCCCCCCCCCCCCAGTATCTTTTGAAACTTTACTTGTCATTTTAGGGAACTGTCAGAGAGATTTGTGTGAAGACTTCCACTGTGCAAACGATGGAAAGTGCATCATAGACCCTGGCCCTCCAAAATCAGCCAGGTGCTCCTGCTCACCGGGATATCACGGAACCCACTGTGAAATCAACTCATGTCATGGCCTTTGCGTGCATGTAAGTGTCTTGTTCCCGTTGGTTTCAGTTTGTGCTTTGCAAATGGCCTGGGTGTAGTGTTACTTCTTTGACTTCTTATAGGCTAGTTTTACATGACATATGCGATAGGGTAATCAAAGTTGTAATGTATAATTCCAAAATAGTTACTGTCTCCCATCTTGCTTTTATTATGTAGATCTCTGGACAAATTTTGAACCAGTTACCTGCCAGCCAAAATAACTCTCTGATCATTGCCAGTCAATTTTCTGTTTGTATTTGATTTTGTTTAAACTAAAAGTGAAACCAGAGATTGCAACAAAAACTTCTGTACACTAGAAAGATTGTGTGGCAGTGATTCATATATGATAGGCACTATACATTAAAATTTGAAATGGGATACTTAAGTATTCTGTTAGTAATTGCAATACAAATTGGTTAAAGTGACCATATGGATATTTTATAAGTATAATGAACTCATATGTCTCTTTTTTGTGTGTGTGTGTTGATAATATTTCAGTACTCTAGATATGAAACTTTGTGGATGATCCTTAGAAAAAGAATGAACTCAGAGATTCATTTTTTCTCTCTCTCTCTCTCACTCTCTCTCAAAGGGTATATGTAAAATCCGCCAAGGGGAACCAATGTGCGAGTGTGATGGTGGTTGGAGGGGCCGCTTCTGTGATGATAGCATCTGCAAAGGTATGTATCTCTTTTGTGATCTTTAGTTAATGTTATTACATAGAACAATGGCATCTTTTTTTTGCTATGACAAATTACCTGCTATTACAGTATATATTAGATATCAGTGCCATTTGATCTTTTATTTTCCTTGACTATTGATGTTGTTGCTGTAACAAGACCTGCAGCTCTGTGTCATCCAATTGTAAGAATATTGATGGTTGATTAGTAACATATACATCCTATGAACTTTTCCCACACCTAGATGACAACTGTGTTCAGAAATGCGATGGCACCCTTAAGTGTCAGAACAACGGCGTATGCACTATAGCATCGGGCAGCGGCAAATATTTCTGTCGATGCCTTCCTGGTTACCATGGAATGACCTGCGAGAAGTCAGCGTGCGACAACTACTGCCAAAGGGTAGGGTTTTGTAAGGTGTAACAGAATGGTATAGGAAAAAAAAAAATGATTATAAGATTTACTGATGAAATTATAGAGCTTTTCACAAGGCTAGATGTCATATAATTTAGTTTAAAATGTAATGAGAAGTATATTATGCAATTCCTTTCTAAGTGAAATCATGCCTTCTCATTTATGGCTGTTTACATGAATCACATTAGAATGATAATGTTGTTTCCATAAATGATACAGGGTGTGTGCCATCTAGAAGGAAATGATCCCAACTGCACTTGTCCGCCTGGCTACAGCGGTGACCAGTGCCAACATGACGACTGTGATCACTATTGTCATCGGGTAAGATGATTTTCTACTTGATTTGTGTGTGCGAGGAAATGGTAAGCTTTTTCATAGTGTTGGATATTTTGCTTCTCAGTTAAATTTTATACGAAGTTGATCAGAAAACCAAAATGACATATTTTCTTTGTGATCCATTATAGGGCAGCTGCCACATCACATCAAATGGTCCAGAGTGTGTGTGCGAAGATGGGTACACTGGAGCTCAGTGCACAGAAATCAGTTCGGATACTGTGTCATGCTTGCCAGATTCTTGTTTAAACAATGGAAAGTGTGTCGTGCTGAACAATAAAGAGATCTGTGACTGT